GGGGGGGGGGGGGGGGGGGTCGGTGGCTGAGGCAGGAGAATCGCTGGGAGTTTGAGGCCAGCCTAGGCTACATAGTGAGTTCAGGCCAGTCTGAACTACACAGGGGGACTCTGTCTCAAAAAAAACAAAAAAAGAATGCCAAGCCAGTGCTATTTTTTTTATTATTGCAATGTTCAACTGACTCTGATTTCCAAGGGTCTTTAAGTCTTCTGACAAACTCAAAAATTTTTAATTATATTTCCCTATATACTCTTTAATCTTTTAAAATAACTTTTGTGAAACTAAGAGGTTTTTTTTTTTAAGTCAAATACCAAAAATATAATTCTGATTGGCTAACACAGGCAAAATGCATGTTAATGGTTGAGGACACCTTTGTTATTTTTTTTAAATATTTTCTGAAGTCATGTGAACAAAGAAGTATTTGGATTTATGCTTCTTTTAGTTACTGAGCACTTTTTAAATTAATCTGGTACCATCTAAACAGTATACAAACCTAATACATAGGACATGACGTATAATACACATATTCATGCCAACACACATAAAGACTTGATGTTATCATTTATTGACTTTTTAAAAGTTATATTATTGGGATGGTTTTCTTTTTTACAGTCCTAAGCAACCCTTAATTTTAAATCTGTATCTGAAGGTAGAATTCCAGGTTGTAGCAAAGTGAGAAATATACATCTCAAAAGAGATTGGTTATGTAGTTAATCTGAGTTTGAATTTCCTGAAGCTTTTTTTTCTCCCTTAACTGAATAAGTCAGTCAATTTAAAAGCTCTTGCTCCAGGTTTTAAGACATTTTTAATTATGCTAAAACTTAGAATAACTGGTCAGAAGTTTACACATCTTTTCCTGGCTCTATTGTTCAAGGCCTCTACTAGGAAAATAGAAACCAGTTTAGTCCTGCAGAGGTCACCAAAGCTGTTACCGGCCACTTAGGCTCATATTTGTAGGTTCATCTGCTCACGGCTGACCAAATCAAAAGAGGCCATGTATTTTGAGTAAAAAAGAAAAAAGATTTATGTAAAGCTAGCTCTGAGGAGATGGATGGACCTATTCATCTCAAATCACCATCTCACCCTTTACAGGTGGGCAAGGGTCTTTTGTCTAAGGAACAGAGGGGAGGGGGACCCAGGGAGATAATGAGATTTCCACGTTTGCTTTCTCACTTCCAGCCATTTAAAGCTCAGCCTCCTTTCTTGTGGAAAACAAACCAGGCTTCTGGCCTCCTGGGGCTGGCACCTGCATATTCTGTCACTTTTTTGAGCTGAAGAAAGGAGGGGGTGTTGTTATGTAAACATTGTTTTAAAATAAAATAACTTTTAAAGTTTTATTTTGCAGTGCTGGTTACATCAGGACAAAATTGTCCATCTCCACCCCATATATCCAGGCAAGATCCTTCTATTTATTGGGTTCATTTCAGTTTTCTCCTTGACCTTGAAATGTGTTCTACCTGTTTTGCTTTTTTTGTTTTGTTTTTTAACTTTTAGAAGGTAGAATGGTTCAAGCCTCTTAGAAGAGAAAAGTAACCTATTACTATGGGGGCTCAGTTACAGAAACAGGCACAGTCAGAAGTGACAGTATCAATGTTGCAACACTGGGAATTTTTACTTCATATTAGACTTTTCCATGCCTGGAGCTATTTTTCTGGAGTTACAGGAAAGGGGAGTCCCTTCACCTACTTGTTTCAACAGAGTGGCGGCAGCACCACCTCTCAGCCCCACCTCTCTACCCCAGGTGGCCCCAAATCCCCTTTGAAAGGGTTTGGTTCAGGTATCAGCATCACCACCTATAAGATTTGAGATGGAGCAGAGAGGATGTGGGAGGCTTAAGTCAAGTGTCCTGAGTGAGGCAAGACCAGATTGTCCCCAGTACAGAGTAGCTGGGAAGTAGCTACCATAGACTGTCCCGTTTTACCCAAAATGTTCACCCTAGGCATGAACTAGACTATCCAGAGCTCTTGGATTAGTCAAGGCATTGAAGAGAAGGCACTGAGTTGTGCCTGGCAGGAAGTCTGGAGTTTCTGGTTTTGAAGCTCAAGAGGTGTAAACCAGGGGCGGGGCCCCAAGTAGGAGGAGGAGGGTAGCTGGGGCAGGGCCCTAGTCAGCTGTGCAATGCTGCTCAACCAGAGGCGACCCAGAGCGGGAGGATACCAACAGCCTACTGAAACTCAGGGAAGTAGGAACATTTCAGCTTTGATCATCTAAGACAATGCTTCAGTTCCATTTGTCATTCTGACACCTCTGCTTATCCTGCATCCCAGAGATGGAGTCACTAATAGGAGTAAAACTCGGCTGCCTGTTTGCCCTGCTGGCTCTCACCCTTGTCTGTGGCCTTAGTCCCATCTGCTCCAAATGGTTCAAGATTGACACAGCTACAGGTATAGCCCTACGTGACTTGGTCCCTTAACCTGAGTCTCACCTCGACCCTATCCTGATTCCTTGCTCTGATTCTCTGACCACCCTGGAGCTCAGAATATTGAGTGCTGCCTCAGGCTCTTCAGTCATCTTTATCTCCTCAGTACCAACTGGATTGTAACTTCTACTTTTTTATTAGGTCACCACCGCCAAGTCCTCAGCCTCCTGGGCTGTACTTCTGCTGGTGTTTTCCTGGGAGCAGGTTTCATGCATATAACTCCTGAAGCCCTGGAAGGAATTGAATCTGAGATCCAGAAGTTCATGGAGCAGGTGAGCAGCAGGTGCTAAGCTACAGAGTTGTGAGGCCTGAATGATAAACAGAACCAAGGAACAAAGAGGGAAAAGTGATGGAGTCAAGGACGTGGATGAGACAACAGAGAAGATAACAGCTCTTGTGTTGTGCAGAATGGTGAAAGCAGGTCAGATTGGGCTTTAAGACAAGCAGTATTGCTGAAAGGACAGGACAGGAAGTTGAGCTACTCCATCTCCCCACTAATATTGGTGTCTTTCTCCCTAGAACAGAACAAGAGGCAAGGCAGATTCTTCTAATGATGCTGAATCAGCCTTTGTAAGTATTTCCCACCAGCCTCCATCTGGAGGGTGAGGAGAACCAGATTCTTTCATATCCAGACCCTTTTGAAAGGAGTATGTGAGAAATTCTAAGAGTTCCTTCTGCTCCTAGTTCAGTGTAGAGGAAAGGAAGCACCAAACCTGGTCATTTTGTGTTATGGAGCCCCAGAAAAAGACTCTTGCTTTACCATTACCTTCTTTCCCTGGGCCCTCTGACAATCTTCCCATTGCTTTTCCATATTTCTAACCCTACTGATACTGTGTCCCTTAGCCCCTCTGGTATTCTCCCTATTGCATGTCTTCTCCTGCTCCATACCCCTCCTCCCTTTTTAGGTTCTATTACATTTCTCCCATTCTCTTCAATCTCCTGATCCCATAGTCCATCCAATGCACTGTCATCCCTCTCTTTCCCATCTCATGGCCCCTCTTTCTGTTCCTAGGTGGAGTATCCCTATGGAGAACTCATCATCTCCCTGGGCTTTTTCCTTGTCTTCCTTTTGGAGTCGCTGGCATTGCAGTGCTATCCTGGGGCTTCCGGACAATCAACAGCACAGGAGGAGGAACGGGGTGGGAATCCTGTCTTCGATTTCCACAGCCATGAGTCTCTAAGCTCACCTAAACAGAGTCCCTTCCGGGCCTTCGTCCTCTTGCTTTCACTCTCCTTTCACTCAGTGTTTGAAGGGCTGGCTGTGGGGCTCCAGCCAACAATAGCAGCTACCATACAGCTCTGTCTCGCTGTCCTGGCTCACAAGGGGCTCGTCGTGTTTGGTGTAGCATTGCGCCTGATAAAGACAGGCACTCAATCTCGATGGGCCATATCCTCCATACTGTCATTAGCTTTCATGTCCCCCTTGGGCCTAGCCCTAGGGATGACCGTAGCTGCAGGGGACTCGGAAGGGTGGAAGGGCTTAACTCAGGCCATATTAGAAGGTCTCGCAGCTGGCACATTCCTGTATGTGACATTTCTAGAAATTTTGCCCCGGGAGCTAAGTAGCTGTGAGCCCCCTCTGGCCAAATGGGGCTGTGTAGCTGCTGGTTTTGCCTTCATGGCCTTTATTGCCATATGGGCCTGAGAGACTCCTGACTTTTCTGATGGATCTATGTACTTACAAGGAACTCTCCCTATCCACAAGGGACACCTCCCAGTGGGCTTTGGCCCTCAGGCATTTTTGTACTAAGAAATGACATTCCATTAGGCATCATGTCCATGGACTGGACTCAAGATTTACCTACATGAGATTCCATTTCTTACTCAGACTGAGAAAAGAATGTTGTTTGAATGCCTGTTAATTGGAGAATTGATATAATGAGCATCACTCCAGATTTGCCTCTTGTCCAGTTTATGCTGCTGTGGGTAATAAAGTGCCCATTTGACCCCTCCCCTTCAGCCATACTGTATTTCATTTTTCCGAGTTGCCTAGAAGCCGCCTGGTATAGGCAGTGGTAGAACAGGAAGGGGAAGGATGAACACTGGATGAGAATGGTCTTCTGGAGTCAAGGCCCCTATCTGTTTTGTCAGTTGCAGGCCTTGCTCCCAGATAAGAAAGCATTACTGAAATTCCAGCAACCTCCTCCCACCTTCCCCTCGAAGTTGAGTATACATCAGCACTCCCAGCATTTAAAGGGAAATAGGTTTTAAAATAGAACCCAGAGAGGGCTGGGGATTTAGCTCAGTGGCACCACACTTGTCTCACAAGGTCGTGAGTTTGATCGTTGGTACAAAAAAAAATATCCAGGGACCCATATTTTTTCTCCACCAACCACTTCACCGCATTTACAGTACCTACTTTCTGCAATGCCCTATGTGCCCAGCAGGCTGAAGATCATCGGGGCCTGTTTCTATCAAGTTCCTATTTTTTTCCACACTGAGCTCCCAAGGGTCAGGACACGATTGCTGTTCCTGAGCCTCTGCTCCTGGCTGCCTTAGGCTAAGGGATTAGAAAGCGGTGTGTGTGGAGGGGGAAAAGGGAAATACTTCGGGTGATTACTTGGCTCTTGGAGGTTTCCTTTCTGCCGGCCCTACCAATTGCCTTCCAGGTTGAGTAATCCTTGTAATGTGTTGCTTCCCTTAAAAACTGCTGAGGAAAAAAAAAATACTAAGAACAAACATAAAAGCAGATTATCTGGAATTCAACAAAATGGCTGTCGCCCAGCACCAGCCCCTTTGAGACGGAGGACTGTGTCAGACTTACTGGAGAAATGAGGAAAGAGAAGATAGACCCCAGGAGCTCACTCATCCTCCAAGTTTCCCCCTTCTACAGTTTTTAGTATGGAAGCCCAAAGCAGCTTAACATGGAGTCCGTTCTTACCTTAGTCTTTGTCTCCTTTCCATCTCGCTCCTCTCCTCACAAATTAAATATGCAAGCTTCCTTACAAGCCCAGTTGA